ATCTATGGGGTCCCTCACCTTTTCCTTCTAGTAACGGATATAAATATTATATTGCTTTTGTAGATGGCTACACTAGGTATACTTGGTTGTATTTTTCTTAAACAAAAATCTGAGGCCCTCTAAGCCTTTAACTTGTTTCACACTTTTGTTCTGACTCAATTCAATTTTACCATTAAGTTAGTTCAATCTGACTTTGGTGGGGAGTTTAGATCCTTTACCAAATTATTGTCTCAACTAGGAATCACACATAGGCTCACTTGTCCTCATACCTCACACCAAAATAGTCAGTTGAAGGAAAGCATAGACACATAGTGGAGATGGACTTACCATGCTATCACATTCTTCTATACCCCTTACTTATTGGGATCATAGTTTTTCAACTTCTGTTCATCTCATCAATAGATTGCCTACCACACCTCTAACAAATGCTCAGTCACCTTTTCATGCTCTCTATGGTAAACATCCTGATTATAAGTCCTTAAGAGTTTTTGGATGTGCTTTTTTCCCCTTCTTAGACCTTTTAACCAACATAAGTTTTAGATGCGTAGCAAGGAGTGTGTTTACCTTGGTGTATGTCCAACACATAAAGGCTTCAAATGTCTCAGTAGTGATGGAAATATTTGTATTTCTAAGGATGTCACCTTTAATGAGTCTTAGTTTCCTTTTCCGACTATCTTTCCTACTAAATGCTTATCTTCAAGTGTGATAGTTCTCTTTTCGTGTATTGCAAACAAGGTATTTTTATATTTACATTTTAGTCTATGTATATGACATTCTCATCAATGGTTCAAGCTCTCCACTGATACATGATCTGATCAACAAATTGCACATTGTATTTGCACTGAAAAAACTGGGCAAACCTAGTTACTTTCTAGGTATTGAAGTCAACAAGCTTACCAATGGATCACTCCTACTAACTCAGTCAAAATATATCAAAGATCTCCTCTCTAAAGCTAATATAGAGAATTCTAATAGAGTGCTAACACCCATGTTGAGTACCTGCAAACTGAGTAAGCATGGTGACAATGTTTTCTTTGATCCACAGCATTACAAGTCTATTATTGGTGCTTTACAATATATTACACTGACCATGCCTAACATTGTCTTCAGTGTCAATAAAGCATTTCAATTCATGGCATGTCCTTTGGATACTCATTGGGCAGCAGTAAGAAGATTGCTTAGATGCTTGAGTGAAACAACTAAGCATGGCCTCCTATTATCTCCCTCTATTTCAGCTCTTAAGTTCTCTTTGTGTGCATATAATGATTCGGATTGGGCCAATGATCTTGACGACAAAAGATCAACATCTGGTTCTTGTATTTATTTTGGTCCAAATCTAGTTTCCTGGAGCTCGAAGAAATAGTCTCTGGTTGCGCGTTTTAGCAATGAAGCTGAGTATCAGGCTTTGGCTCACTTAATTTCAGAGTTTTTATGGCTATAATCTCTTTTGTCTGAACTTAATATTATCTTTCACACACCAACACTTATTTGTGACAACTTAAGCGTCGTGTTATTGTCCTATAACCCAGTGCTACATGCTAGTACCAAACACATAGAACTTGAAATTCATTTTGTCAGGAAAAGGGTTATTGCTCGCGGGATAGTAATCAAACATGTACCTGTTGCAGCTCAAATTGCAAATACTTTGACAAAACCATTGGGAATTATTACATTTTAGGACCTCCAAAGCAAACTCAAGATCAATGCCCTTCAGTTTGAGGGGGTATTAGAGTTAATGTTGAATTTATTCAGCTTTCCTTTACTTGGTCTAACTGTTAAACCTTCAGTTTGAGATCAGGTTATCATCAGATTCGAGTGAAGTCTGAAGACATTCCAAAGAATGCATTCAAAATGAGGTATGGTCATTAATGAGTATTCAGTAATGTCGTTTGGAGTGTCTAATGCCCCTGGTGTGTTTATGGAGTATATGAACATCATTTTTCATCCTTATCTAGATCAGTTTGTGGTTGTGTTTATTGATGATATTTTGATTTATTCTAAATATGATGAGGAGCATGCAAAACATTTGAGAATTGTATTGCAAACCTTACAAGAAAGAAGTTGTATGCGAAGTTATCCAAGTGTGAATTCTGGATGAGAAAAGTGAGTTTCCTTGGTCATGTAATTCTAGTGTTGCTATTATTGTTGACCCGTCGAAGGTCAAGGTTGTGTTACAGTGGGGGTCTCTAAAGTCTGTCACTGAGATCCGAAGTTTTACCGGATTAGCTGGGTATTATTGAAAGCTCATTGAAGGCTTTTCTAAGTTGGCACTACCGTTAACTCAGCTAACTAGGAAAGGTCAGGCGTATGTGTGGCATGTGAATGTGAAGAGAGTTTCCAAGAGTTTAAGAAGAGGTTGACGTCAGCTCTAGTGTTGATTCTGCCTATTCCAAATGAATCTTTTGTCGTGTATTGTGATGCTTCTAAGATGGATCTAAGTGGTGTGTTGATGCATAATGGATAAGTTGTTGCTTATGCTTCGAGACAACTTAGAGTTCATGAGAAGAATTATCCCACACATGACTTAAGTTGGCTGCCATTGTGTTCACACTTAAAATTTGGAGACATTATTTGTTTGGCTCTAGATTTGAAGTGTTTAGTGATCATAAGAGTTTAAAGTACCTGTTCAGTCAAAATGAATTGAATATGAGACAAAATAGGTAGCTTGAGTTATCAAAGGACTATAATTTTGGTTTGAATCACCATCCTGGTAAAGATAATGTCGTAGTTGATGCCTTGAGTCGAAAGACATTGCAAGTGTCGACCTTGATGGCGAGAGAGTTGGATTTGATTGAAGAATTCAGATATTTGAGTTTGGTTTGTGAAGTTACGTCACATAGTGTGAAATTGGGTATGTTAAAGCTTACGAGTGGTGTTATGGAGGAGATTAGAGAAGGTCAGAAAACTGATTTGAAATTGGTGGATCATTTAGCATTAATCAATCAAGGTCAAGGTGGTGATTTCAAGGTTAATGATAATGGTGTTATAAAATTCTGTGACAGAATTTATGTTCCTGATGTGCCTGAGCTCAAGAAGATTATTCTTGAAGAAGGACACATGAGTGATGTGAGTATTCATCCTGGTGCTACTAGAATGCATCAAGATTTGAGGAAGGTCTTTTGGTGGCCTGGAATGAAAATGGAGGTTGTTGAATTTGTGTATGCGTGTTTGATTTTCCAAAAGTAAAAAATTTAGCATCAGAAGCCATCGGGTTTGATGCATCCGTTGTCTATTTCTGAGTGGAAATGGGACATCATTTCGATGGACTTTGTCTCTAGATTGTCCATGATGGTGAAGGGTTATGATACTATCTGGATTATTATGGATATGTTGACTAAATAGGCTCACTTTATTTTGATTCGAATTAATCTTCTATTGAAGAAGTTAACAGAGCTATATATTGAGAGGATTGTCAGTCTGCATGGGATTCCATCCAGTATTGTATCTGACAGAGATCCTAGGTTTACGTCGAGATTCTGGGAGAGTTTGCAAAAGGATTTAGGTACGAAGTTACGTTTGAGTTCTACTTACCATCCGCAAACAGGTGATTAGACAGAGAGGACTATTCAATCTTTAGAATACATGTTGAGAGCTTGTGTGCCAGGACAAGGAGGTTCCTGGAATAACTTTTTGCCATTGATTGAGTTTACCTACAACAACAATTTCCATTAGAGCATTAGAATTGCACCGTTTGAGGCATTGTATGGTAGAAGGTGTAGGACTCTTTTATGTTGGTATGAGTTGGGAGAAAGTATTGTGTTTGGACATGAGATTGTCCGATAAACTACAGAGAAGATCAAAGTGATTCAGGAGAAGATGAGAGCTTCTCAGAGTCGCCAAAAGAGCTAACATATAAGCAAGGGAAAACACTTGAGTTCTGAGAGGGAGATCATGTGTTTCTGAGAGTTACTCCGATAACTGATGTTGATCGAGCTTTGAAGTCTCAAAAACTCACTCTACATCTTATCGGTCCGTACTTGATTGCGAAGAGGATATTAGAAGCAATATAAAATCAGAAAGATACAACTACAATAAGGATGCATTGAAAAAGTATAAGGATGGTTTAAGAAATTTTTAAATGAACAGCCAGACAAATGAATGGCGTTACATTGCTAGGCCTCTAGTTGAGCATGGAGAAGAGAGATCCAAAACGGGCCTCCCATCCCACTAATATTATCTAGCATAACCAAACAAAACTCACCACGTCATCTAATTCGATATTATTTAATTCAATTCTTTGACCCACAATCAATTATTTTTGCACTGCCCCCACAAAGTTCTAGATCAGCCTCCATTCAATTACTATAAAAAAAATCAGCTCATCGAATAAAATATCAAGATCACTTCCCCCTTTAGTGGTTTGTTTATATTCACTTGGAAATAAAATCATAGAGAGGGAGTAATGTGATTAAGATATTATCTATTTTTCAAAATAAATATTCTTTTTGTCTTTAATTATAGAGAGAAAATAAGACCACATTAATTTCATTTTAAAATTATTTCTATTTCTCCGTTTTAAATTAGCTGTTGTTTTAATAAATAAAATTTATTTTAAAATAAATATCATTTTCATTTTTAAATATAGTAATAATTATTATTTTTACTTTTTATTTAGAATATTATTTTTAATATATTAATAAGTAATTTTATAAAAATGTATAATATTATTGTATTTTTTAATTTATATAATGAATTAATTGAAATAGTATTCTTTCATTTTATTAGTAGGCAAAAAATAAAATTTCACTTTTTTTGGGTCCATTCATCAGAAAAAACAGAACCCTTGTCTCACAAACCTCATCAGGAGAATATCAGAGCTACCCAATTCGATTCTAATTCATACGCTCTTGATTTCCGCTTAAATTTTCAATCTTTGATGAAAACAACGCAACCCCATTAGTTTTTTCTACTCAACCAAAATTCCGTCCCCAAAATAATAAAGTGACAATTTTTTCAAATTTTCCTCCACTTATTCTGTGTCTGAACCGTTTTTAAGGAACATGTCTTTGATCCGAAGAAGAAAAGGGTCGGAACCAGAAAAGGGTCATAGTGAAAATTCAGAACCAAAAATTCAGAAAAATGAAGGAGATGAAGAAGATGATGATAATGATAAAAACAAGAAGAATAGGAATAAGAATAAGAATGAGGTTGATGTGTTGAAGAAGAAGAGTAAGTGGTCTTGTATTGATAGTTGTTGTTGGTTTGTCGGTTGCATTTGCACGTTATGGTGGTTTTTGTTGTTTATGTACAATGTGATGCCTGCTTCGTTTCCTCAGTATGTGACTGAAGCTATTACTGGTCCTATGCCTGATCCACCTGGTCTCAAACTCAAGAAGGAAGGGTTGAGTGTGAAGCATCCAGTGGTTTTTGTGCCTGGGATTGTTACTGGTGGGCTTGAGCTTTGGGAGGGTCATCAGTGTGCTGAAGGGTTGTTTAGGAAGAGGTTGTGGGGTGGTACTTTTGGAGAAGTTTACAAAAGGTATATATAACTTTGCTTGCTTATGTTGGTTTTTTGGTGGCTGAGATGTTCGGGAAATTTGTCGATTTAATGGTAGGTTGTTGGATTTATTAACATGTTTCTATTATTGGTGGAGACATTGGATGGATGATTTGGAAGGGAATTTCTCTTTTATGGTATTGTTATTTGCTTGATATGCTTAAATTTTGCTGTTTGTTGAATTGGACTTGTTTCATCTGTTATTGGAGTTTACTTGCCATAAGAAATCTTGTTCTTAGAATTTGTCCTATGTACTGTTAGGTGTTAGATCACTGTTTTCCTCTAAACCTTTGAATCTGATCTTCATTTAGAATGATAACTATTCAATTACGTAAATTTGAAGTTCGATTTGGACTTGTTTAATCTCATAAGTTCTGATTGGAAGAATTCATGTCGCTTTCCAAGTCCCTCTGGAGAGGGGAAATACTGTTCAGCTTGAAAACGTATCGGGAAAGTTTCTGATGGACATTAATTTCATTCCTTTTGTAAGACTAATAATATCTGAAGTACACATCGATCAAAACTTCAAAAGATTTTCAAACGAAAATGATAATCGTAACTTATGGTCCAGATAAGGTTTATAACATAGTTCACCGTCACTAGTGAAATCTTTGTCGGAGCCTTTGATGTTTGGAATTGATTTCTTATAGACATAGAAATGGTAACATGAAATTTACTTATGTTCTAGTGGATCTTTTGCAGACCTTCATGTTGGGTGGAGCACATGTCCTTGGACAATGAAACAGGATTGGATCCACCCGGCATACGAGTCCGGCCTGTTACCGGACTTGTAGCAGCTGACTACTTTGCTGCAGGATACTTTGTTTGGGCTGTTCTAATTGCTAACTTGGCACGCATTGGTTATGAAGAAAAGACTATGTACATGGCTGCATATGATTGGAGAATATCATTTCAGAACACCGAGGTATTATTCTTTTAATAATTGATTTTGTACTGAGTTTTCGTTTCAGAAAACGGCTGAATGTTTTTCATTTCATCAATAATAATTTAACTGATCAGGTTCGGGATCAAACACTAAGTCGGATAAAAAGTAACATAGAACTTATGGTTGAAACTAATGGTGGAAATAAGGCGGTTATTATTCCACACTCGATGGGGGTTTTGTATTTTCTTCATTTCATGAAATGGGTTGAAGCACCAGCTCCAATGGGGGGTGGAGGCGGACCAGATTGGTGTTCCAAATATATTAAGGCAATTGTAAACATCGGTGGACCGTTTTTAGGTGTTCCGAAGGCTATAGCAGGGCTTTTCTCAGCAGAAGCCCGAGATATTGCTGTTGCAAGGTATATAGTACTATGAACAACTTGTTTTCTTCTATTGTTTATACCATGAAGCACTGATATTGACACTAGACATGACACTGATACATCGACACCGTTTGTAATTTGAGAAAATAGAATAATGGAATGCAACACTTGTGTCTTTGTCGTGCCTATGTCAGACACCTATATGCCTCAGACACGCCTTCAATCTGAAGTGTCGGTGTTGCATAGTGTTTAAATCAGCTATGCTTTGTTAACACCTTTAAGATCTCTTTTATTCGCTCCTCTCTTTAAAATTCTTCTTTCAATTACTGATTTTGGCTGATAAACAACCATGTGCAAAATTTTCTGTTATTCCAACTACAGGTCTGAATTAGAAAAGAAAATTCTGATTGCATTTGGAATTCATGCTACACTTTTTTTTTTGTTCAGCACAACTATTCAGTATCTAAATTGAGTTTGGTTCTTTCTTGTTATATATCAAGGGCGATTGCACCTGGTTTTTTAGATAACGACATGTTTCGGATTCAAACGTTGCAACATGTTATGAAGATGACTCGCACTTGGGACTCAACAATGTCAATGATACCAAAAGGAGGGGACACCATATGGGGTGGTCTTGATTGGTCACCGGAGGCGGGTGATGACCTTACCATGAGAAAGCAAAGCAGGGGCTATACTAAGTTGACAGACCGAAAGGAAAACAAAACAGTTGTTAACTATGGAAGAATGATATCATTTGGCAAAGATGTCGCAGAGGCAGATTCACCTGAGATTGAGATTCTTGACTTTCGGGTGAGCATATATTTAACACTGAATCTTGAAATTGATACAGGTTCTGTTTGGATTGACATATAGGAGCTTATCTACTTGCATACACACTTACGGGACTGTTTGATAGCTTATGACATGTCTATAAGTTATTTTAAGTTGATTTTCATAAGCTCATAGTAGCTTATGAAAATAATTTTATAGGTTACATAAAAATAGTTTGATTTTTTTATACATTTCTTGTTATAGAAATAAATTATACATATGCATTTGTATGATAAGTGCTTATGCTATAAACGCTTAAATTTGTTTATCCAAACAGGACCATAGTTTTGTGTACTCATTCCAACTTTTACCAAATATATGAATACTCATTTTCTCTCTTGTTAACAGGGTGCAATTAAAGGTCCAAATGTTGCAAATACCTCTTGTCGCGATGTGTGGACTGAATACCATGACATGGGAGTTGAGGGAGTGAGAGCTGTTGCAGAGCATAAAGTTTACACAGCTAGCTCAATCATAGACCTCCTTCAGTTTGTTGCTCCGAAAATGATGGCGCGTGGTAGTGCTCATTTCTCTTACGGAGTAGCTGACAATTTAGACGATCCTAAATATGAACACTACAAATATTGGTCAAACCCCTTGGAGACAAAGTGAGTTTTTTTCTCATGACTTTTATCTTATTTATCGGTTTATTTTATCAGTTATACATTTCTGAATGCATGCTTTTCTGGTAGTGCATCAAAATAGCGTAATAGCTCTTTAAACGTAACACGTTCATATATTGATCATATTTGTGAGCTCGAACATATTTGTGTGCCAATATCTACAGATTACCAAATGCTCCTGATATGGAAATCTTCTCTCTTTACGGAGTTGGCCTACCGACAGAAAGAGCTTATATTTACAAGCTAACTCCCTTTGCCGAGTGTTACATTCCTTTTGAAATCGATCCTACAGCCAAAGGTGGTGACGATGTTAGTTGTCTGAGAGAGGGTGTCTACACAGTTAACGGCGATGAGACTGTGCCGGTTCTAAGTTCAGGCTTCATGTGTGCTAAAGGTTGGCGTGGAAAAACAAGATTCAATCCTTCAGGGATCCGCACTTATGTTCGAGAATACGATCACTCTCCTCCGGCCAACCTGCTAGAAGGAAGAGGAACTCAAAGTGGTGCTCATGTTGATATAATGGGAAACTTTGCGCTGATTGAAGATGTTATGAGGATCGCGGCGGGAGCCAAAGGAGAAGAATTGGGAGGCGATAAAGTGTTTTCCGATATCTTTAAATGGTCTGATAGAATCAAGTTACCTTTGTGAGGGGTTGAGTTCTTCTCTACTTACCGGATGATTTCCAGTAGAACAGAGAAAGGCACGACTTATAAAATATTATTATTTTATTTACCGTGTCTTTTTCTCTTCTCTGGAACCATCAAGAGGATCCAAGCCCCTTTGTGAGTGAAGGAGAATGCGCTTCCAGGCGTTCATTTCGCTAAAGGATCCGATTATGTCATATACATTTTTTGCAGTATTATCTCACTGCTACCAAAGTTCTATAAAATGCACTCAGAATTATGGTTCTGCTTATGAAATTCAGATTCCATGGAGTGGTTAAAAAGGAAGCAATGGCATTTCAAAACTTTAGTTGTGTTGTATGGTAATTTTTTCAAGACACATTTTTGTCAGATTCTTCATGGAGACTTCTCATTGTATTTTATTACATTTTTTTGTTGCTTTTTGAAAATTTGTACCAATAAGTTGACAATGTAGTAATAATTAGACACTAGTTTATAATTTTGTTATGTCTAATGACTTATTCTATCTTTTGAAATATTAACTACTGCACTTTTTTTGTTGTTGTTTAATTAGACCATTTTTGTCTGTTTACTTTTGTGCCATTTCTTATAATTCTTTTTCATGGAAGGGAATTCACACCTATGAAATGTTTGTAATATGAAATTTCAGCTATATTAAAAAGTACTCCCTCTGTCCCAAATTATAAGAGAAATTTATTTTTTTTAAATTCATTGAATAATTAATGTATCTGACCTATATATAGACCATAAATATTAATTATTCAATGAATTTAAAATGTGAATTTCTCTTATAATTTGGGACGGAAGGAGTAATAAATATAAGTATAAGAAATATGAAGAGGTGGAGTTTGAAGGGTGAGGATGTTCACACTGCTCTCTACACTTATTATTGATTCTTTTATGGGGTGTGTAAAATATCCGATTGAGAGATTCAAATTCATAATCAAATTTAAATCTATTTTAAATATTTGGATATATAATTGAATGATTTTTAACCGATTTATTTATTAATGGTTAATTATTCATTAGTATTTTATTTTTGAATCTGGTTATAATCTGTTTATTATCTAAAATCAATCCATATGTTTAAATTTTAATTATAAATTTTATTGACTACATATAGCAGCTCACGCTAATATAAAATTAATCATAAAATATGAACATGTTTTTGTTGTTTTAGTTTGTTGCTAGAAAATAGGAGGTTACTGCCAATCTCTCATTTTTAAGAATTAGTTGGTTTTTGAATTAGTCTTATTTGTTATTAGCCACTTTACTTTAATAAAGATATTTAATTTGTAAATTTGAGTTACAATTTTATTTCCTACAAACTGGTATGACAGTTTGGTTGGATTAGATAAATACAACTAAGTTGCAACTTAGCTGAGAAAGAAACACAAATATGAATGACAACAAAAAAATTTATCATCTGATGGTGAACATTATGATCATTGAAGTGAGTTGACGGAGAATCTTCTTCGTGCCAAAGCTCTCTGGTCCATGATTGAAATAGGTTTTCAGGAACCCATTGAAACGATTGTGCTCACTGGAGAACAATTGGAGTTGCTACAAAATTCCAAAACCAATTATCACAGGGTCAAGCATTATCTCTTTAGGGCAATTGAAAGTCAGTCTTCGAACATGTATTGGATAGGCGCACATCCAAGATTGTTTAGGATTCCCTGAAAAGAAAGTATGGAGGTAACGATCGCGTGAAGAAGTCGATGCTAAACTCTTTGAGAAGAGAGTTTGTGGTATTGGAAATGAAAGATGCAAAAACCATGATCGAATATTTTTCCAGAGTAATGATTGTGGCAAACAAAATGAGAAGCAATGGAGAGGTTATGCATGATTAAAAAGTGGTGCAGGAAATTTTTCGTACATTGGCAAAGAAATTCACGTATGTAGTGGTTTCAATTGAGGAGTCAAAGGACACGAAAGAAATGGCCATTTATGAGCTTCAAAGATCTCTGGTGGTTCATGAATAAAAGTTTAAAAGGGTTAACTGTGATGATGAGCAAGCTCTGAAGGTGGAATCTAGTAGAGGAAGATGAACATATCATGGAAGAGGACGTGGAAGAGGCATACAATCTTCATAAGGGGGACTGTTGAGTGTTTTAAGTGTCATAATTTAGGGTATTTTCAATATGAATGTATCAAATGGAACAAAGAGACATATTATGCAGAGTTGGATGATGAAGAAGAGCCTCTCCTTATGGCTCTTATATAATAAAATAAAGCAAAAATGAACGATGCATGGTTCTTGGACTCAAAGTGCTCTAACCGTATGTGTGGAGACAAAGGTATGTTCTTAAATATGGTAGAAGGAAAAAATCATTGTGCTAAGTGTGGAAATAATTCTCGCATGTCAGTAGCTGGAAAAGGAAGTATCAGGCTAGTATTTAATGGCACTACTTTTCTACTTCAAGATGTATATTATGTCCCAAAACTTCGAAATAATTTGTTGAGTGTAAGGTAGCAGCAAGAAAATGATCTCCCCATTCTCATAAAAGGTGGGACATGCAACATACATCATTCATACAAAGGATAAATTGCACACACCAACATGAGTGAAAATCACATGTTTATCCTCTTCAATAAAAGCTCCAACATCACTGCTCACATTGAAAAGTGCCTACATATTTCCTATAAGCTCACTTACTCGTGTCATCAAATGTATGGTCACTTAAACTACAAAGGCTTGAAGACATTGCAAACAGAGAAAATGGTGTGCGATATTCCTCAATTTGAAGCCTCGAGTGTCACTTGTGCTGATTGTTTCACCGGAAAATAACGCTGCAATCCAATTCCAAAAAAGAGTGAATGGCATGCCAACAAGATCTTGAAAATCATACATGCATACATTTGCAGACCTATAGAGCAATCTCAAGCAGTGGAAGAGGTACTTAGTATGCTTTATCGATGACTATAGTCAAAAGGGTTAGGTCTATTTTCTCATTCAAAAATTAGAAGCTTGGGAGTGTTTCAAGAATTACAAGAAGCTAGTGGAAAAAGAAGCAGAAACATCTATCAAGTATTTGAGGACAAACAGAGGTGGAGAGTTTAACTCTCTCAATTTTAAATTATTTTATGAAGAAGAAGGAATAAAGAGACAACTTACTACAACATATACACCACACCAAAACAGAATAACATAATGCAAAAATGGAACTGTGATGAATATGGTAGGCTGCATGCTCTCTGCGAAAAAGGTTCCTAAATTATTTTGGACTGAAACTGCTAATTGGATATTCTACCCGCTAAATCGATGCCTAACACATGCTGTGAAGAACATCACTCCTCAATAAGCTTGGAATGGAGTCGAGCTTTAAGTAGAACACCTTCGTGTTTGGGGCTGCATAGCACTCGTGCATATACCAGAGGCAAAACGAGGTAAACTTAATGATAAAAGTTTTTCTTGCATTATGTTGGGGGTAAGAAATGAGTCAAAGGGTTATCATTTGTTTGACCCTAAGCAAAAAGGGTTGTGGTTAGTAAGGATGTAGTATTTGAGGAAGAAAAGAGTTGGAATTATGGTGAAAATTTTAAAGAACAAATAAATGCATATTTGGTTTGGAGTGATGATGATTTCGGTAGTGATAGAGTGGCGATAAAGATGGTGGGAGCAATGAAAGTAAGAATTAAACAAAAAACTCTCATGAAAATGGGATTCAAGGTAGAGAGACAAGGCCTCTAATTTGGATGGAAGATTATGAGAATAGTGATTCGTTAAGTGAAGAAAATGCAAAGACCTACATGGTTCAAGATGTTATAAGTAATGATCTAATTCTTTATGAGGAAGCTGTGAAGCATGAGAAATGAAGAAAGTCTATAGAGTGTAAAATAAATTCAATTGAAAAGAATCAAACACGGGAGCTAATGGATATACCAGTTGTAGCTAAAACAATTGGAGTTAAATGGATTTTCAAGACAAAATTGAATGAGAATGGTGAGGTAGACAAATATAAGGCTCGATTGGTGGCAAAGGGTATGATCAACAACACAAAGTCGATTTTAATGAATTTTTTTCTCCCACGGCTCGCATGGATACAATAAGAATGATCGTGGCTCTTGCAACATCTGTTATCCATTCTCTCCTTGGTATGACCCAAACCTCAAATACGACTTTCATAGTGGGGTAGTGGGACACTCGATTGAGGATTGTAGAATTCTTAAAGAAAAGGTGCATGATTTGATTGATAGGAGACAAATAACCCCTTGTCCTAATGAGTACCAAGACTTCAGAAAACACCCTCCTAAAGCTAGTGGATCAGACTGGAAAGTTTATCCTTGGTGCTGATAATCATTAGGCCATTTTTATCATTTTCATTGTAATTTCCTTGTTTGTTAAGTGTTATTTCCTTTTAAACTTGTTATTTTTGAACATTATTATTAATGAAATGAACATGCATCTTTTGAATTAATAATTTTGTGTTTCACTCGTTTTTCGTCTTTTCTTTTTTTATCGCATAAAATAAATAAAAAAAGAGAGAGAAAGAAAAACAAAACCACAATATCAATATTTTCTCTACCTCACTTTTTTTATTAGTTTTTTTTTAAAGCAAAGATTGGAGGGATGATGATGTAAACAAAGACTTGAAATTGATTAAGTATGCTTTTGAATAGAACCTTGTTGATGAAGTAAGGCATTATTTTAATTCACCAAACACTAAGGAGTTAAGAAGTTAATCCCTAGTCAACCCTTTTGAACCTAGAAGTTAGTGTTTATTTCTGTGTTGAAATACTCTCGATCTTAACCAGGGGCATTGTAGTTTTTAATTAATTTGACTATGCATTCAAATTCCAAGATAAAGCATCCCATCTGAGGATTCAATCGCATCCTCTATTCACACACATCATACAATGTTGAAGAAGTGGTGAAAATCCAAAAGCTTACAGAGGTTGTTTCTCTCGAACCATCAAAACATGGCAGTCACAACCCTTTCAACAAGAAACAAATCAAACGAACAAATGTCATATAAGTTGTTCCAAAAATAATTAAAAAAT